AGCAAAGAAGGAGAGAAGGGGAGAAGAAGGGGCATGGAGCTTCAGTGTTCAGCTATCTGAGAGCTCACAAAACTAAGTCCTTTTGGCTTTTTATAGAAGCTTCATTAAACAGGCATGATTGATTAGATCACTGGGCATTGGTTTATGGACTCAATCTTCAGCTTCTTTCCCCTTCCCAGAGGTGGGGGCTGGGGGTGGGAATGAAAGTTATAACCCTTAATCACTGGGTTGGTTCCCCTGGCTGCCTAGACCCATCCTGAAGCTATCTAGGGGCCTCCAGGCACCAGTCATCTGATTATTGTCAAAACAGTCACTCCAGAGATTCCAAGGATTTTTAGAAGCCTTGTCAGAAAATGGGACAAAGACCAAATATTAATGTATTTTTTATGATATCACAGATGGGAAAGACAGACAAGAAAAACTTGCTTTAACTCTTCATTTAATACCTCTCTGAAGGGTTTGGCTTTTTAAAATCCATGTTCATATATTTTTCATAAAAGCATACTTGTTATAATTGTAGTTTAAAAGCAAAAATTTAATTTTGTGTTCTATACTTATCATACTTTTTTTTTTTTTTACCTAAAATGAGAATCCAATAGAAATTTTTTCTTTATGATTTGTCAAGTATGCCAACAGATTGACAACATTTCAAGACACTACTTTGTTGTAAATTTCATTGCTTAAGGCTCCCTTGGGAGTAAGGTAGTAAATACATTTATTTCTATGCTTTTCCATATTCTGTCAGGTATTAAAATGTTTTTCCACATTTTTGTTTTAAAGGTATTTAGGGCACTTGGAGAATTGTAAATACTATGTTTTGTACCGTGATTTTTAGTCACAAGTTTCCAAAAGCGGGTAAGGGTATGAATGGACTTTACACATAAAAGAGACACTTTCTTATGTAACATGCATGGTAAGTTTTTTTATTTTTTCCTTTGTTTTTATTTGTTTGTTTTTGGTAATCCAAATTGAAAAGGCCTGAACTCTTTCATGAGTTGAGTTCATGTATAGTTTCAAAGTTCCTGAATTGATTTGGATACCTGCCTCTTTTTGACTACCTTGAAAACTCTATTGAAACTCTCTTAATCACTGGAGAACTGGACCAAGATCTCTGAGTTGTGATTTCAGTAAATTCTGTTCTCTGGTGTCCCAAGGTTTTAATTCTTTATAAAGCAGCATTTAGACATAGCCTTGATTACTTGTCCAAGTCACTTCCAAATCCTAATGAGAAACTGTCTCTGGACTTTTTTTTTTTTCTGAGACAGAGTCTTACTCTGTTGCCTGCTAGAGTGCAGTGACATGATCTCAGCTGACTGCAGCCTCTGCCCCTGGAAGTGATTCTCCTGCCTCAGCCTCCTGAGTAGCTGGGATTACAGGCACCTGCCACTGCACCCAGCTAATTTTTTAGTAGACATGGGGTTTTGACATCTTGGACAGGCTGGTCTTGAACTCCTGACCTCGTGATCCACCCACCTCAGCCTCACAAACTGCTGGGATTACAGGCGTGAGCCACCATGCCCGGCCTGTCTCTGGACTTTTATATTTTCTTAGACCTACAGTATAAATACCAAGAAAGAGTTTCATGTCTAATGTAAAAATGCAATGAAATTTTGATATTATTCTGTAAAGGCTATGAGAAAGATGATTACTTTGGAGACTTGTTACTTGGGATGTTGGCTTTTAAAATGAGAGCAGATTCTTCCCAAATTCCATAGGTAGGAATATGAATATAAAAGAAAAATCTATGAACTCCTTATGCCTACAAACTTTGGGTAGGAATTATTTTGTTCTTTGACTGACAACTTAGAAGATTTGTTTTAAAGTTTTGTCTCAGGAAAAATAAGGTTGTTTTCCATGCAGAGAACATAAAGTTACATATGGCATCTGGAAGGCTGAATTAATTCCATTTCCTTGTTACCTTCCATGGAAGAAGTGTCTAATAAAAAATAAAATCTATTTTCTGTTAAAAGAGCCTGTTGAGCTCACAACTCTTTGGGAGATTATTAATGGCCCATTTGCTTGGGGAATCTGGTGGTTTGTATTCAGAGGTTTATGTATCTTCTACTTCATTGTGTCCTTTTGTTTTCCTTTTCACAAATGACTTTACACTTTGGCACAGGATACATTTTAAATCCCTGGGCAGAATCATCACTTAAAGGAACTAGCCTGGCCGGGTGCAGTAGTTCATGTCTGTAATCCCAGCACTTGGGAGACTCATGAGGATCACGAGATCAGGAGTTCGAGATTAGCCTGGCCAGCATGGTGGCATGCCCAGGAGGCAGAGGTCGCAATGAGCCGAGATAGTGACAGGGTGAGACTCCGTGTCAAAAAAAAGAGGAACTAGCCCTTGCTTTTATGTGCAATGGATTGGGAAATGCATCCACTGTAATAATATGCAGTGTCTTGATTACCTGCTGAAATAGGGTGGATAGATGGACTTTTTATTGCTTAATATTTATTTATTTATTTTGAGACAGGGTCTTACTGTCACCCATGCTGACGTGCAGTTGGTGCCATCACAGCTCACTACAGCCTCCTTCCAGGTCAAGCGATTCTCCAGCCACAGCCTCCTGAGTAGCTGGGAGTACAGGCGTGTGCCACCATGCCCGGCAAATTTTTATATTTTTAGAAGAGACAGGGTTTCATCGTGTTGACATGGTCTTGAACTCCTGGCCTCAAGAGGCACATGCCTCGGCCTCCCAAAGTGTTGGGATTACAGGCATGAGCCACCACACCCGGCCATAGATGGATTTTTAATTTGGAGTTTGTCACTTTTTCTGTACTCCAGGATATGGTTTCTCATTGTCTTTTTCATAGATTTTATTTTTCAAGCAGGTTATATTTTGTAGTTGCCTTTAAAAATAACCGGATGTGACAGACATTTCCCCATGAATACTAATTGTACTTAGTTGTACAGACTATTGTAGGATCCACAGATGGACAGGTAGGATCCTTGCTTTCTGTTGTAGATACATGTATAATAGGGTACATGATACTTAGATAACTACAGACTGCAATATTAGATGACATATGAGTGTTAGGTGTTTCACTAAGTTCTGTGGGTATGCTGAAAGAATTTCTGTCAAAGAAAGTGGGTTTCTAGGATAGGTAGGATTTGAACAGTCAGGGATTGGGAAGTTGGTGGGGTCATCATTCCAAGCAAAGAGAATCTAAACACCACTATACCTATGGGGAACATAAGTCTGAAGCATTGATGTATGTGTGTTAGGAGGAGTATTACTATAACGCGAATTGGATACTCGAATGCCAGGAGCAGGAATGTAGATTTTAGTTGATAGTAATTTCAGAGCTGCTGAAGTATTTTGAGCAGAGGAATGAAGAAAGGCAATTTGGTGATGGCTTGTAGATGGATTTAGACAAGATGAGGTTTTTGTTTTTTGTTTTTGAGACATTAATTGGTTGGTGTCACAGAAAAGGGAGATGTTAGAATTTGGCAACTAATTGGCAAAGTTTGAGTGTGTGGGGTTGGGTTTGGAGTATCTCTAAGAGATTAATAATGGTACCTTCAACTGAAATATCAAATCATAAGGAAAAGCCGAATCTAGTTTAAGGCAAGTTGTGCTTTAGAACTTTGGAGATTTGCAGTTGTAATGTAGGAGTGAAACTAGGTGAGTATTTAGATGTCATTCCCATTGTTGAAACGTTGGACAATAACGTGTTTATGTAATCCTACTTAAAATATGCATTTCTGTCAGAGTACAAAGAAAGATGGTGGCTATGGAGTGGGGGAATTACCATTTTTTAAAAAACATGTCTTGGTTTTCTGAGTGTTACTTTTGTTATGTGAGGAACAATAGAGAGTTGACTATTTTAAGAAACAGATTCAGCACTGTACAGGAAAAAGGGAACTTGGAGGATGTTTCTAAGTCTGAAAGAAACTAGGTAGGAGGGAAAAAACCCTGAATTTTTTGACCCTTTGAAGAATGCTCAGAGTAAAAGAGCAGGCAAAGTAAGAGCTGTTATGACTTAGCTAGAAGAAAAGGAAGAATTAGATGGAAGTATAAAACCTGAACTTGATTTCCTGAAGAATGCTTTAAACCAAAAATCTAAAACTTGGCTGGGCATGGTGGCTCACGCCTGTAATCCCAGCACTTTGGGAGGCTGAGGTGGGTGGATCACTTGAGCTCAGGAGTTAGAAACCAGTCTGGCCAACATGGTAAAACCTTGTCTCTACTAAAAATACAAAAATTAGCTGGGTGTGGTGGCAGATACCTGTAATCCCAGTTACTTGGGAGGCTGAGGCAGGAGAATTGCTTGAGCCTGGGAGGCAGAGGTTGCGGTGAGCTGAGATTGTGCCAGTGCATTCCAGCCTGGGTGACAGAGCAAGACTCCGTCTCAATCAATCAAAAACTTAATAGGAACAAATGGTTTTCATTTGGGTTATTTTTAGCTCTTTATTTTTAAAATTATCTTAATGATTATCAAATGATGAAGGACATATTCTTTTACAAATTCATCTTAAAGATGATTTAGTAATTTGGTGCCTTGGGCATACACAGTGTTACTTGAACTAATCTGGAAATTAGGAAGGAAGGACATTTTAGAAAGAAAGGAAGGAAGTAAAGAATTCACCATCTTAGCCAACATGGTGAAATCCCATCTCTACTAAAAATACAAAAATTAGCCAGGTGTGGTGGCAGGCACTTGTCATCCCAGCTACTTGGGAGGCTGAGACAGGAGAATCGCTTGAACCCGGGAGGTGGAGGTTGCAGTGAGCCAAGATTGCACCACTGCACTCCAGCGTGGCAATAGAGTGAGACACCATCTCAAAAAAAAAAAAAGAATTTAGTATGTTTGGTCTGTCCTCTTGAACTCTGACTTTACAAAACCTTCATTGCCCCTTAAACCTAAATTGTCTTGAGGCTTAATGTACTGAACATACTCATGTTTCCCAATTAAAGAAAGAATATCATAACTATTAGTGGGAAAACATTCTTATAGATACTTCATTCAAATGATTTTTTCTTTCTTTCTTTTAGGTATATTTGTATCCAGTATTGTTCTGATCTTGTCCCAGCGATCACTTTTCAAGTTTTACATGTACAGCTCAGCCTTTCTGTTAGCTGCAACTTCAGTGTTGGTGAATTACTATGCCTCTTTGCACATTGACTTCTATGGTGGCTACAACACATCAGCTTTTGGAATTGAGCTGCTTCCTCGAAAAGGTCCCTCACTATGGATGGCAGTTATCGTTCTACAGCTAACATTTGGAATTGGATACATTACACTACTCCAGATTCATTCCATCTATTCACAATTAATCATTTTGGATCTCTTGGTTCCTGTAATAGGTTTAATCACAGAGCTACCATTACATGTCAGAGAGACTTTAGTGTTTACCTCTTCCTTGATTCTCACATTAAATACAGTGCTTGTCCTGGCAGTGAAACTGAAGTGGTTTTATTATTCCACACGATATGTTTATCTTTTAGTGAGGCACATGTATCGAATTTATGGATTACAGTTATTGATGGAAGACACATGGAAGAGGATTCGTTTCCCAGACATACTGCGAGTCTTTTGGCTAACAAGAGTTACAGCTCAGGCTACAGTGTTAATGTACATCTTAAGGATGGCAAATGAAACTGATTCCTTCTTTATTTCTTGGGATGATTTTTGGGACCTCATTTGCAATCTTATAATTAGTGGATGTGATTCTACACTAACTGTGCTGGGCATGAGTGCTGTAATTTCCTCAGTAGCCCATTATTTGGGGCTTGGAATATTGGCCTTTATTGGATCAACTGAGGAAGATGACAGGCGGCTTGGCTTTGTTGCACCAGTTTTATTTTTTATTTTGGCTCTTCAGACTGGGTTAAGTGGGCTAAGACCAGAAGAGAGACTTATTCGCTTAAGTAGAAACATGTGCCTTCTATTAACTGCAGTCCTGCATTTCATCCACGGAATGACAGACCCTGTATTAATGTCTCTCAGTGCCTCTCATGTGTCATCTTTTCGTAGACATTTTCCTGTGCTGTTTGTCTCTGCTTGCCTGTTTATTCTTCCTGTCTTACTCAGTTATGTTCTTTGGCATCACTATGCACTAAATACATGGTTGTTTGCAGTTACAGCATTTTGTGTGGAACTGTGCTTAAAAGTAATTGTTTCTCTCACTGTTTATACCTTATTCATGATTGACGGCTACTATAATGTCCTCTGGGAAAAGCTTGACGATTATGTCTACTACGTTCGTTCAACAGGAAGTATTATTGAATTTATATTTGGAGTTGTAATGTTTGGAAATGGAGCTTACACTATGATGTTTGAGTCAGGAAGTAAAATTCGGGCTTTTATGATGTGCCTACATGCATATTTTAACATCTACTTACAAGCCAAAAATGGCTGGAAGACATTCATGAATCGTAGGACTGCTGTGAAGAAAATTAATTCACTTCCTGAAATAAAAGGTAGCCGCTTACAAGAAATAGATGATGTATGTGCAATCTGCTATCATGAGTTTACAACATCTGCTCGTATTACACCATGTAATCATTATTTCCATGCACTTTGCCTTCGGAAATGGCTGTACATTCAAGATACTTGTCCAATGTGCCATCAAAAAGTATACAACGAAGATGATATCAAAGATAACGCAAATGTATCTAACAACAATGGATTTATTGCACCCAATGAAAATCCAGAGGAACCTATAAGAGAAGCTGCTGCTGAATCTGACAGGGAATTGAACGAAGATGACAGTACAGATTGTGATGATGATGTTCAAAGAGAAAGAAACGGAGTCATTCAGCACACAGGCACAGCAGCTGAAGAACTTAATGATGATACTGACTGATTAAAATAGCATTTATTAATCATTGAGGCATTTGTTTAAAATTCAGTTCATCCAAAATGGAGTAATATCCTTCACCTTCAGTGTGTAACCAAGCACAAAAACAGTATCAATGTTGAATCTGTGAATGGTTTTCCGTTTACTGTGATGTGCTACTGTAAATATACCTCTTTAATTACTTCTGGTCTCTTTGGTGACCTGTTTAAATTTGTGTACATTATTGTACATAGAATAAAATGTTTTCACATTTTTATGACAAAATTTGAACAAATAGCTTTTTAATAGATGTAATGCATGTGGTGCGTCAACTGTGCCAAAGATTCTTAATGAGATTATATAGTGTATCTAACTTTGGACCTCAGTTTTTCTTTAGAATGGGTGGGAGAATGAAAAATACAAATCAGGAAACCGCATTAAAGTCAAGGAAGTAAATAAAATAATTTGACCAGAGGATAAACGACATGAGAGAGTATTTCAAAACTAAAGAAAAAATGAGCTTGCCAGAAGCAACTGAAGAACTTTTCTGAAAGTTGAGTAGCAGTGTAATTGAGCTGAGTCTGAAAGTCATGATTCAGAGACTGAGGGCTGAGAAATAAACTATCAATCAGCTAAACTTTGATGTAAATCAGAATGTGCTATTTTTTTAAATGTAAAATTGGTTTGTTAGCCATTCTGTGTCTACAGTATTGTCATAAAATTATCTTTTCATTGTTTTGAAGATATTACAAAAGTTTTTATTGTTTTAAACAATAAGGTATTATTGTTTATTGTTTTAAACAATAAATAAGGTATTCAATGATATAAAAACATCCTGATTTGATTTTATGAGAAAAAGAAGGGGAATGGTGGGGAATGGTGTTTACTGATACACAGTATTTCTTTAGACAACTTCCAGGTAATTTCTTTATTGAAACTATCAGTAAGTTTTACTATGAAATTTTGCATACATGATGGAAAGTGGAAGACATATGCCGATTATATTCCAGGAAAAAATACTTTAATAGTATTGTTATATAGTGTATTCGCTAATTCCAGTGGATCCTCATCTCTCACTGCTGACATTATCTCCAATATTTGACTAAAACAAAACAAAAACAAAAATGGTTAAATCTCCAAGTACACATTGTTTTAAAGCCATATAATATTTTTCCATATAAAGGAAAATATTAGAGCACCTTTAATATAATATTAACAGTTGTAAGTTTTTCAGCAACACCAAGAAAAACTTACTGCCAGTAACTAGAAACAGACTTATGGGACTGTCTTGCATATAACTCGAGCTAAGAACCAGGTTCAAGTAAATTATTAAAGCAGCCATCCGTATGATGTGCACCACAGTTATGGCATTAACCCAGTGGAAATGAAGAGTCGTTTTCAGTTGTGGCTCACAGCACATTCATTAGGGGATCATGATAAGCATTTTAAAAATTGACAAGTATACTGTACTTAGTAAGTACTGTTCCATTTTTCTTTTGGTTTTATTATGTGTCCTAAGTCAATGTAATTTGTACTAGAGGACAGCAGGTACAGTTGGAAAGCCACTGCTAGAGAACTAGTCCTTGAGAGACAGCAAATGAAGGTTATCAGGTTGGTGCAAAAATAATATTTACTTGGAAAAATGTGTGGTTACTGAGGGCGAGGGTGAGAGAAAGGAGAGAGAGAGAGAGAGAGACAGAAGTAAGCCCAGGTATCCATCTTTCAGTTTTTTTTTTTTTTTTTTGAGACGGAGTCTCACTGTGTCACCTGGGCTGGAGTGCAGTGGTGCGATCTCAGCTCACTGCAACCTCCGCAGCCCTGGTCCAGGTGATTCTCCTGCCTCAGCCTCCCGAGCAACTAGAATTAATAGGCGCCCACTGTCACACCCAGCTATTTTTGTATTTTTAGTGGAGGCAAGGTTTCACCATGTTGGCCAGGCTGGTCTTCAACTCCTGACCTCATGATCTACCCGCCTCCACCTCCCAGAGTGCTAGGATTACAGGTGTGAGCCACTGCACTCAGCCACATCTTTCAGTTTCTGTTCTTAAAATAATGATTATCCATAGTGTCTCCTAGCAGTATTATATATAAGTGGAATATTTTAAATACACGAATTAGGAAATTCCAACGCCAAAATTGAACATTTGAATATTTTTTGCCTAAGCTTTTTGTTCCCTTAGTGGGTATCTTAAATGTTAACATGTAAAGGAATTAAGGATGGGGATCTTAAGATTAATGGGAATTTTAAAAATTGTTTTTTTAAAAAATAAAATTGTTGGCTCTGTACGGATTAAAAATTGTTTTGTAATAGTGACACAAAAACCTTGCTTGATGTTTATACTAAGCAAACATTACACTAAATTTTTATCTGACAAGTCAAAATACCCTAAAAGCAAACCTATTAACATTTAAATTAAGACAGTGAAAATCCAATTTTCTTAGGAAACTACCGAATGTCCCTCTGTATGTACTTCTCAGAACTGGAACTGTTGATCAGTGCTGTTGATGACACAATTTTTAAGGTCACAGCCGCTTTGCTAAGATTATATTGCATAGCAAATTCATTTTATTGAAATTACTTATAAGAAATCTATTGGGGCCAGGCGGGGTGGCTCACACCTGTAATCACCACACTTTGGGAGGCTGAGGTGTGCGGATTGCCTGAGCTCAGGAGTTTGAGACCAGCCTGGGCAACACGGTGAAACCCTGTTGCTACTAAAACAAAAAATTGGCCAGGCGTGGTGGCATACACCTATAGTCCTAGCTACTCGGGAGGCTGAGGCAGGAGAACTGGTTGGAGGTTGCAGTGAGCTGAGATTGTGCCAGTGCACTCCACTGCACTCTGGCCTGGGCAACAGAGCAAGACTCTTGTCTCCAAAAAAAAGAAAAAAAAAATCTATTGGAACGTAGGACATCCTATTTTACTGTTTGATAAGTGACAATGCAGTTTATGGCAATCTTTGAATAACACTTCTGCAGCCATGCTATTTCCATGTATCTTCAGTGGTCAAAGCTGCAGTTATTCCAAAGCGAATATAAAGTTGTTTAATGTCCCTGAGAATTTAGTGGCTTTTGTTTAATGTAGCACTTTTACAGTAGGCACAGGTTTTTGTGGGATTTTTCTGTTTGAGACGAAGTCTCACTGTGGCCCAGGCTGGAGTGCAGTGGCACAATCTCGGCTCACTGCAATCTCCGCCTCTCAGGTTCAAACGATTCTTTTGCCTCAGCCTCCAAAGTAGCTGGGATTACAGGCGCCCACCACCATGCCTGGCTAATTTTTTTTTGTATTTTTCGTAGAGATGGGGGTTTTGCCATGTTGGCTAGGCTGCTTTTGAACTCCTGACCTCAAGTGATCCGCCCACCTAGGCCTCCCATAGGCTGACAGACTTGTCACTGCACCCCGGCCAGGCAAAGGTTTTTAGTCTTGCAAGATCTATATGATTCCTGCCACCATCTCCTTTCCAGCCCTTCTCCATACTGATACCTGTTATAGCTTTTAAAAAAAATAATTGCCACTCTCTTGCTTAAAATCCTTTGGGTAATGATAAAATCTAAGCAAAATTTTGGCATATAAAAGCGCTCACAATCTGGGCTCACTCTACCTTCCCAGACTTCTTCCACTTACCCCGTGCATCCTACTTTCTGCCACACTTGTTCCTCTGGATCAGTCAAGCCCTTCTGCAGTCTGCCTTTGCTCAAGGTGTTTGTCTTTCTCTGGCTTAACTCCCAGTCATGCTTAGTAAACAACTGAAATGTCACCTCGGTAAAGCTCTCTCCTATTTCCCTCAAAGCAGCTGATGTGCCCTATGGTCCTGGTCATATATTCCAACTTGTATAGCAGCACTACCATCTTGGACTCTGTCTGCTTATTTGCTCCAGGAGGGCAGGGACCCTTCCTGACTCAATGCCTTATCTAAAGTGCCAGGTGGCACAGTGTGCCTATTCATCTGTCTTGATTCTTCTGTGTAGCCTTAGTAACTTGTACCTTTCCTGACATATGGCAGGGGCTCCAAAACATCTGTTGCAAACAGTTTATATCGAAAAGATCCCTCTAAAAATAATTAGAATATAAAATTGCTAACAGAATGGAGGTTGATAAAAGTGACTTTGTAAGTAGGAATTAACTTGCCAACATAATTAGCAGTAGATTAGAGGACTGTGTATTTTGAAATGTGGTTTAAAATTTTTCAGCTTGCAGATGCTAATTTTCCTAAGCTCTGCCTATTTAGCTAACTGAAGAACAGGTATTCATGAAGCTTTCAGTTTTTTGTTGTTTTTGTTTTTTTGAGACGGAGTTTTGCTCTTGTCACCCTGGCTGGAGTGCAATGGTACAGTCTTGGCTCACTGCAACCTCTGCCTACCAGGTCCAAGTGATTTCTCCTGCTTCAGCCTCCAGGCAGCTGGGATTACAGGTGGTCTGCCACCACATCCGGCTAATTTTTGTATTTTTAGTAGAGACAAGGTTTCACCATGTTGGCCAGGCTGGTCTCGAGCTCCTGACCTCAGGTCATCCACCCCCTCCCAAAGTGCTGGGATTACAGACGTGAGCCACCGTGCCCGGCCAGCCTTCACAGTTCTTAAACAGTCTACATTTAAAAACACCTTGAAATTTTGTCTTGCAAATGTATAGCTAAAGTCAACAGTGATAATTTTACATAAGATTAAGTAGTATAGAAAACTGACGGGTATACTGTTGGCAACTACTTCCTGTAAGCTGGCTGCTGGCAGAATACCAGTTTCTTTTCTCTAATGTCCTCTTAGATCCCCAAATAATTTGCTGGGCGCTGTGGCTCACGCCTGTAATCCCAACACTTTGGGAGGCCGAGGTGGGTGGATCACTTGAGGTCAAGAGTTCAAGACTGCCCTGTCCAGCATGGTGAAAACCCATCTCTATTAAAAACACAAAAATTAGCCGGGCGTAGTGGCACACGCCTGTAATCTCAGCTACTTGGGAGGCTGAGGCAGGAGAATTGATTGGACCCGGGAGGCAGAGGTTGCAGTGAGCCGAGATCTTGCCACTGTACTCCAGCCTGGGCAACAGAGTGAGACTGTCTCAAAAAATACATAATTATTTACTGTCTCATGACTGAATTTGCAAGTACTTACATTTCTTCATTTTAAAAAATTTTATTTCTTTAGAGACAGGGATCTCCCTATCTTGCCTGAGCTGATCTCGATACTCCTGGGCTCAAGCAGTCTCCCCAAGTAGCTGGTATACAGGTGTAGGCCACCATGCCTGGCTGCTTCAGTTTTAAAGTCTTTGCCAGCTCAAGCATGTTAATAAAGAAAAATAACCTTTCAAACATATTGTAATAGAATAATTCTTTACTGTTCTGAGCTGCTGGATTTTAGATCTGGCTTATCTTCTAATACTCTTTTCCTATTAAAAACTACTTAAAA